ATAGCCCCCTCCCTTCCCCCGTGAGCGGTGGACATGCCTTTGGAAGGCTGGGTGCACCGTGATGCCCGTGTGACCAGGCGTGGTGCCGAGTGCAGAGCTGTGCCCTCTGCCCTGCCAGGGGAGGGCCGCCCGCTTCCCCGGTGCCAGCAGATGGAAGGGGTGGGGGCCTCGACGGCTCCAGTTTGTCCCCTGCCACCGCAGACATCAGAGCTGGGCGGCAGTTTTTCTAGTTGGGCATCCAGAGGACAAACTAACCATTTAAAATCTGCAAGCTGGACAGTCTTTGCTTTGGAGCCTGCGGCGAATTCCTTCATCCTGACAGTCCAGCCATTCTTCTCACTGACGCAGGGTTTGGGATCCAGGACGAGGGCGATGCTGAGGGCGCCAGGCGCTGAGCCAGGCCTGCAGGCTCGGGGTTCGCCTCTGTGGCAGGGGGTGCTGGCATGATCTCCCTCCCGGAGCCCACCTCGCCACATGGGATGGCCACGCTTCCTTCTTTGTTGTGATGAAACACACACAGCGTAACATTTGCCACCGGCGGCATTTAGAACATTCGCAATGTGTGTGGCCTTCACCGCTCTCTAGTTCCAGACGTTCCCGTTCCCCCAAAGGAAGCCATGTCCCCATTCGCCGTCACTCCCAGCCCCTCTTTCTCAGTCCCTGGCGACCACTCATCTTGTTTCCACGCATTCGCCTCCTCGGGATGCCCCGTAGAAAGGGAATCAGGACCATGTGGTCTTTGTGCCTGGCTTCTTCCTCTCAGTGTGTTTTCAGGTTCACACACACAGCATGTGCGGTAACTTCGTTTCTTTTGAGGGATGATCCGTGTTCTGTTCTCTGCATCCGCCGGACTCTGGGTGTCCATCGTGTGCTGGCGGGCACTCGGCGGCCTGCACGCTTGGCTGCGGAGAACAGAGCTGCTCCCAGCAGTCACGTGCACCCCGCTGTTTGAGCCCCTGGTTTCGCTGCTTTGGGTGCGCGCTCTCCTTGTGGCGCTTTCTGTGAATTTCCTGGGCCAGCCTTGAGCTTGAGAGGCAACAGGTGGGAACGTCATGCCCACCGTGGGGCCCAGGCCCCTTGGTCAGCCAGACACGTGCTGGCCTTGGGCACGTCCTTCCTGCTCTCCGTGCCTCAGTTTCCCACTCTGTAGGAAGGGGGTAGACCAGGTCTGTCCTCCCGCTTTGGGGAGAGAGGGAGGCCAGTTATGCGGGCGGAGGTCCTGTCACAGCTCCTTCCCTCTTTGCGGGAAGGAGACACTCCCGCCCATGGAGGCCCAGCCTGGCTCCTCCTGATCCCTAAAGGCGGGGGGTGGGAGGTGGGCTGGGGGGCAGGGGGAGACAGTGATGTGGCTTTGGGCCATGGGGAGCAGGAGGCTGTCAGACCTTTTTGGGGGAGGCACCGCCCTCCACGTCGTCGGGGCGTGCATTTCTCCGCCCATTCAGAGCAGCGGTGGGGAGCGTGGGCTCTGGAACCGTTCTGCCTGGGTCTGCATCCTGGTTCCGCAGAGATGAGCCATGTGACCCTGGGCAGACCACGTAACTGCTCTGTGCCTCAGTTTCCCCGACTGTAAAGTGGGCATGTTCCTCCTTCATTGTTTTTTATGAGGATTAAGTGAGGCGACCCCTCCACAGGCTCCTAGAGCAGTAACTGGCCTTAGACATCACTCTGCCAGTGTTAGCCATCACCATGGTAACGATGACGCAGACAGTGAAGGCCCTCGTCCCCCAAATCATCCCCCTTCCCAGCTGGGGGACCCGTCTTACTCGGAATGTTGACGGTTCTTCCTTTGCTCCGCATGACGTAGCCTCTGAGCGTTCCGTGTGGCTCTTTGGCGTGTGCGTGTCCATCTCCCCCCCCCCCCCCCCCCCAGGTCCTGGCTTTGTGGAGGCAGGTCCAGCCCGTGGACTTCCCACCCGACGGGGAGGTGGACCGAGACCCGGATAAGGGAAGTGGGCGGGGCAGGCTGGACGCAGGGCCTGGGAGTAGGCAGGTGACTTTGACACGCCCAGCAGCTGCAGGGCCTGGTCAGCCGCAGCAGGATGGGGTGGGGCCTGGGCCAGGCCCTGGGTTTCCTTTGCTCAGAGGCTGCTGGTCCCAGGCGGCTCGGGGTGGGGGTGTCACTGTTGTCAGGGGAGGAGGGAGTTCCTCAGCTCGCACAGCCGCTCAGCAGACCCCTGGTGACCCGCTGGGTTTGGCCACACAGCTGGCCGGACAGTGGACCCTGCCATAGCGCTTCCCGTGAACCATCAGTGTCGCCCCTGCTCGCCGGGGGCCCTGTCAGGGCAGACTTCCTGTGGTCTCGCTCACTGATGGCACACGGGAGGTGCCCAGCAGCTAATCTCGAATCAGTAAGCGGTCTGGGAGGGTCTCTCTCTCTTTAAAATATATTTTTATTGATGATGTCAGAGAGGAAGGGAGAGGGAGGGAGGGAGGAAGGGAGGAAGAGCGAAAAAAAGAGAAAAAAAAATCAGTGATGAGAGAGAATCATAGATCAGCTGCCTCCTGCACACCCCCCACTGGGGATGGAGCCTGCAACCTGGGCCTGGGCCCTGACCGGGAATCAAACCGAGCCCTCCTGGTTCCTAGGTCAACGCTCAACCCCTGAGCCTCGCCGGGCAGGTGGAGCTTTTCTCTGTGAAGGGCAGTTGCCGGGGGGATTCTGCCAGCTGGAGTGAGGGTTGGCTGAGGGGTGTTCACGAAGGTCTTCTTCGGGAGTCTGGGTCGTTGGGAGGGACACTGTGATAGATCTAGAGGTGGCTGGGACGCCTTGTGTCCCCATCCCTCTGGGCCAGGGGATCACAGTTACCAGCATGGTCCTGGGCCAGAGCAGGGATCCGAGGGGTTCCTGTTGGCACAGACCAGGCCTCTGCATGCCACGCTCCCTAAAGTGCAGGTGGGTGGCTGGCACACAGGGGCTCAATTTACCCACCTACTGACTTCACCCACCTTCTGCTCTCGGTGTTCTGTGAAAACAAACGGGTGCCTGTAGATAATGGAAGGATTGACTCTAGGTAACTCCGAGCAGTCACCGTGATAGTGCCACTCATTGTGGGCACAGGGGGTGCAGGGGCACAGGGGTGTAGGGGGTGTAGGGTGGGGATCGATCGACAAAGACAAGCAGTGCTGGCGACCTCGGAGGGACCACATAGTCCCTGCTCCCCCGTTGGCCTGTGGACAGTGGCTCACACCGCGGAGACCTGGTGGTGATGATAGCGGTACCGTGGTCACGGGCGTGGCTGTGTATTAAGTGTATTAAGAACCATCGCTCCTGACGACTGCCCTGTGGGTGCATGATCTCAGGTGCAGACAGGCTGAGTCACAGGCTCCAGGCCTGACAGCCGAACGTGGCCGGGCCGCAGCCTCAGCGGGTCTGTTTGCTCCCAGAGCTCATGTCCTTCACGGCGACGGCCTGTCACCTCCCCCAGTGACCAAGTTACCTAAGTCACCGCCAGGGTGTACCCGGCAACAGCTGCCTTTTGCTGCATCTAAGCTCTGGCTTCAGCCGTCTTCAGTTATAAACATTCACAAACACACACGTTCGCTCAGGGGGGTGAGAGCACTGCTGGTCGCTCAGCGCCAGCTGCAGTCAGTGGTGGAAACCCAACGTTGCGGCAGCGGCCTTTGCCATAGGCCCGGCTCCCCTCCTGCACCGGGTGGCCCCCTCGTGGCAGAGGCTGGCTTCCGGATGCTCTCACCCCCATCTCTGCTGGGGCCTGTGGCATGCGCACTGCGTGGCACGGCTGCTGTTTTCTCCTTTAACCTGCTCTCCCTGCCTGGCTTTGGTGACAGTCTCTGCTTTGTCCCCAAAGCCAAGTTTAGGGTCTCAGGCCACAGGTGTGCTGCACGTGTCCCAGCCCAGTGTGGGGTGACTGCTGAGGAAGGTTGCACTCCTTTGGAAGGGCTGTGCCCCGGGGGGAGGCCTGCTCCAGACCGGCGCCTGCCAGGGCCCCTGGCCGCAGAGGAGTTAGATGGGGGCCTCCGCCCGCATTTTTCTGACAGTCCAGGGCAGCAGCTCCGCGTCCAGCCATCACCAAAATCCAGGGAAACGTGGCCGGTGCAGCCTTAGTTTAACGCGCAGCCCCTGCCAGGCCCCGTCAGCGGGTCTGTGTGGAGCTGGGAGTAATGGGCCGTGTCATGCTCTGAGCTGGGCAGTGACTTATGTGGGTGTCACCCCCTAGCTTTTTATGGGACTTATTAATAAATCAGTAATCCGTCTGCAGGGAAGTTGTTGTGTTTATAAATATTTAATTTACCTCCAGGTGCCCACATTTTCTCCATCTTTGCCTCAACTCTGCTGACATGGCTCAGCTCAATGGATTAAGTTATCGGAGTGGGAATGGTCCTCTCTCCCTCTCTCTCCTCTCTCTCTCTCTCTCTCTCTCTCTCTCTCTCTCTCTCTCTCCCTCCCCCTCTCCCCTACTCTCTCTTCTTCTCTCTCCCCCCTCCCTCTCTCTGTCTCCCTCTCACTCCCACTCCGTCTCGCTCCCTCTCATACCTTTTCCATCTCCCTCCACCCCCACATCTCCCCGGAATGTGAATTCACCGTGCCTGTGAGATCTCTGTGTGATGGGCTTGGGTTGGGATCGAGCTGGGAGAGCCAGCGTCTCTGTGACACAATGAAAGGCCAGTCCGGCTTCGGAAGAAGACAGACGGAACTTTCCGAGGGTGACCTCGCGAGTGGAGACCTGCTGTGGGCATGCGTTTCCCCCTTTTCAAGTCGATGACACTGAGAATCGGCAGTGGTGTCTGACGTTCCCACCCACAGAGAAATAGCTTGGTCCCTGCCACCCATTCATCATTGAAAGCCGGTGCTTAGCTGACTGCTGTGTGGCAGGGTGAATGGAAAGGGCTTCAAACAAAACGGACGCAGCCCACGTGGCGGTTTCCCTGGGGTGTGGGTCCAGCCCCGCAGAGGAGGCAGCCGCAGGGCACAGCGCAATGTCACCTCTCAGCACCCAGTGGCTAACGTTAGTTATTATCTCTCTCTTCTTCTGTTTCAGGAAATTGCAGCTTATTTAATAACGTTTGAGAAGCACGAAGAATGGCTCACCACATCCCCTAAGACAAGGTAATGCCCGGATCTCGCAGCTTTTCCGATACGCACAGTAAATGGGTTGATTTTCATGGGTGGCCTGATCGGGCCGGTCAGGGCCCGGGCGAGTAGAAGTGCCACATTGTGTGTGATGGCTCCTGGCACCGAGGGTGCGCTGATTGGCCGGAGACCCTGGGCGCGAGTGCAGGGTGGTCCCGCAGCGGCCAGCAGGCGGGGTGGTGCTCTCTCCCTGTTGCTCACCGCACCCCCTGCCTGCCGGGCGCCCTGTGAGCCTCAGCCCTCGGGAACCTCCGGGGCGTTTATTTTGGGAACCTGCCCACCTGCCACCCATGTTGTCTAGAGACTCACTTTTTAAAAGGGAACCCCTGAACGGCCCACGTCCACCCCAGTGAGGCTTACAAATGGGAAGTCGGGTTATTCTCGGTGGCGGTCAGGAGGCCTCCCAGACCAGAAGCAGTGGCTACGCTTGGAGTTTATGATGCGGTAAATGTCCTTGAACCTGCAACTGCCATAGACACCGAGCTTCTCCCGCCGCCCGCGGATACGGGGACCTGCGCTCTGCCCGGCAGGGGGTGGGTGTGTGACAGCGGCCGGATTCAGGCTTATTTGCCAGGCAGCCTCCTCCCTCCTCCCAGCTCTCGTGGCCCCGCTCCCCATTGCCACAGCTCTCCTGTGGGCCGTGCCGGGCAGGTGTTTGTTGGTGTGGAGAGCGGGCTTAGGTGTGTGCCGGGCCGAGGGCTGGAAGTAGGAGGCAGGGTGCTCCGTCCGTCTCACTTGGGGCAGAAGCACAAGATCTTCTGTGGGAAGTGGGACCAGGAAAGGGCTGGGTGTGTCTGCTGCCCCTGTGGTCACCGGCCCGACCCACTCTTCCTTTCTGAGCCCTGGAGAGAGGCTCTCACATGGTCAGCGCCCTTCAGGTGGCGGCGGAGTCCGCAGAGGCCGAGGGTGTTGAGGAGAGGCTGGAGCCTTGCGTCTCTGGGCGGGCAGAGGCAGCTCTGCGTCTCGCAGCTCTCCCCGAATTCCACTGCGTGTGTCCTCACCCCCCAGCCTCCTGAGCCAGGGTTTCCTTTGCTAGAGAATCAGGTGGTTTGTAGCAGTCAGCTTTTGCTGTGATGATGCTGTGTAAGAAGCAGCCTTGCACTTAGGGACTCGCAGACTTAGATGTCCTGCACACAGGTCTGTGTTGGCTGTGGCTTTGGGGTGTGGCTGGGAGCACTCGCCGTGTCCTTTTGCTCACTGTCTGGGACATGTGGTTCTCCCGGGGGTGGCCGCAGCCTAAAGCCCCGGGCAGTCCATGCCTAAAACCCTGCTGCTGTGGCATCTGTCTTGCCTGCTCCATCGCCAGGGCAGTTCCCTTGGCCAAGCCCCAGAGAAGACTGTGGGTGGGGGCGGGGTGGGGAGTGAATGGAGACACAGTTGACTCTTTGGGGAGCATAGCGTTTCTCAAACTGTGGAGATCCCGGCACGTTCATCCCTCTCCTCTTCTGGGGGCATTTCCTTCCAGGGCGTGATTCCCAAACTTGAGTGGCACGGGAGTCAGCGGGACGCTTGTTAACATGCCCGTGCTGGGCCCCACCCCAGAGTTCACTCAGTAGGTCCGGCTGCGCCCGAGCACCTGACATTTCTAACAGGTTCCAGGTGATGGATGTGGCCTACCTGGGACCCCACTTTGAGAACCTTGTTTCCTCAGGGAGAAAGAGGTCTGATTTCTGCCTCTATCCGTCCCCGACGCCCAGCAGCGGGGTTCACCCTGAGCAGCCCCAGCCCCTCTGCGCCCTCCTCTCCTCTGCACCCTCCTCTCCTCTGCGCCCCTCGCTCCTCGGGGAGACTCCCCTGGATCCAAGGGGAGGGAGGAGCTCTGTTTAGGCAGCAAGTGGGGTCCTGGCAGCCAGCGGACTGCACATGTGCAGAGGCGGGCCTGGGCCTGCTGCGGCCACCGTTCGATGGCAGAGCAGTTGACCACTTCAAGCGGGGGTGGGGGGGTTCTGCCTTGTGTTTCAACCTTAGAATTTGGGTTCCGACTGAGAAGGGAGTGCCCTTGGGGTCATGCCTGACTCACTTGTCTTTTTGGAATCTAGTTGGAGCCAAAGGGCTTCGTATCTCGGGGCACAAGGGGCAGCGTGGCTGAGGGAAAGGGGTGGGGTCAGGCCCTGACAAATCCGGTCTGAGACACCCCCCTGTCCCCCCACCCCCCCCCCGCCCGCCACTCAGCAGTTCTGTGGCATTAAGAAGGCACTTTAGTCCCTTTATTGCTTATTTCTTTTTTTTGGGGGGGGGACGGAGGGGGGAGAGAGAGAGAAAGAGAGAGAGAGGACACATAGAGTATTTGTTGTTCCACTTATTCCTGCATTCATTGGTTGATTCTTCTATGTTCCCTGACTGGGGATTGAACCCAAAACCCAGGCGCATTGGGACGACACTCAAACCAACTGAGCTGCTGGCCAGGGCCACTTCGGTCCCTTTAAAAGCCCCCCTTTTCTTGCTCACGGATGGAGCAGAGCTGGCGCCGAGCCTGTCCTCATGGGGCCGCGGTGAGGACTGGGCGCTGTAACGGGTGTGACCTGGCTTTGCACGCCGTGAGGTCGGGCGATGCATGGGATGTCGCAGTGCCTCCTGCCATTGAGCGGCGGTCCCAGGGCTGGAGGCCGTGGCCTCTGGAAGCAGCTGCCAGGGTCCCCATGGGCGTGGGCACGACCGAGATGGAGGGCGGAGAGCATTTCCTGTTAGTGCGGGGCTCCCGCTCCGGGGGAGGAGAAGTTGCTGCGGTTGTTCAAGGACCTTCCTCAATTAGTTGTTGAGTTGAGTTTGGGTCCCCCTCCCGTCTCCGCTGCTGAAATTAATCCGTGCGGCTAACTGCTGAGCTCATGCCCACCGGCCTCCTGGTATTAGGGAATTAATGGCACCAGTGCTCGGCTGAACGAGGAGGCAAAGCAACTCCTGGCGGCTGCCGCCGCTCATTCCATTTTGGAAAATTAATAAAAATGAATTGCACCGCTGACATTTATAGAGTTTCCTAATAAAGTGATACATTGTTTGTGTGGCGAATCCCTATTAAATTAATTGTCGTAATCAGTGCATATAGATGCTGGTGTAGGGGCTGGGGGGACCAGTCCTGTCTCCGTGGCCTTGCGTGGATTCTGCCCTAATTACAGAGGCGCCTGGGAGCCCGCACCTGTTTAATAAGGAAGTGCTCCCGGAGGTGCCCTGAGCGGGGCTGCAGGCACAGAGGCTCCTGGACGGCCAAGCATCGAATGTTCCATCAGCTCATGTGGTAGCATCAGCAGCGGGGACCTTCGGAAGTGGCTGTGTGAGAAATCACTTCCGGGATGCCCTTCCGTGGCACTTGCTGTGTGCTCAGCACTGTGATAGCACCATTCACAGACCCGGAGAGCGCCCCGCGCCCCACCCCACGGTGAAGTTTGCATCTTGGAGTCGAGAGCTCCCCCCCTCTGTTAGAATGTTCTCCCAGCTCCTCCTTCCCGCCTGATTCGGGGGTCACTTCCTGAGAGGTCGTCCCTGAACACAGTCTAATATCACACCCTCCCCCAGCCAGACTCCGTCTCACCTCCTGCTGTTTCCCGAGAGCCTCACCACCATCGGACACCGTGTCTTCCCCCCGCTTCTCTGGTAATTCGTTCCGACATTTCTGACCTCCCTTCCCCAGAGCGAGCAGGCCAAGAGGAGGGGGATTGCAGTCTGGCTTGGGCGTGGCGTGTCCCCCTCGCCACCTTGGGGCTGGGCACGTGGAGGGCGCCCCGCGCACCTGCCACCCCAGGCTGTACATGTGGAAGGAGGAGGCCTGCTTCACCTTTCACTTTGCCCTGCACGTCTCCGCTAGGACCGGCTGCTGGGCCCAGCACTGTGCTCTGTTGTTATTTTCCTACTCAATAGTTACTTTTTATTATTAGATTCTAAGAGAAATTCTTTTTTTAGAATTTTTATTGAATTTATTGGGGTGACTTTGGTTAATAAATTATATAGGTTTCAGGGGCACGATCCTATAACACATCACCTGTACATTGTATTGTGTGTTCACCACCCCAGGTCAAGTCTCCTTCTATCACCTCCCCGCTCCTCTCCTACCTCCCTGACCCCTTTCCCTCTGTTCCTCACCATCCTGTTGTGTGTCCATGAGTTTGGCTGTTTCTGTTTTGTTTTGGTTTTTGCTTAATCCCTTCACCTTCTTTATCCAGCCCCAACCTCCCCTCCACCCCCAAGAGCTGTCAGATTGTTCTCTGTATCTATGACTCTGTTTCTATTTTGTTTGTCAGTTTATTTTGTTCATTAGATTCCACATATGCGTGAGATTATGTGATACTTGTCTTTCTCTGACTGGCTTATTTCACTTAGCATGATACTCTTCAGGCCCCTCCATGCTGTCGCAAAAGGTAAGACTTCCTTCTTTCATTTACGGCTGAGCAGTATTTCACCGTGTAAATGTCCCACAGCGTCTTCGTCCCCGGCGCCGTGCTTCGAAGTCCTCTCCACAGCTCTGTGGGCAGTGAGTCACGGAGAAGGTGCAGGGCGCCCGGGCTGCCCAGCCAGCGTCGGAACTGGAGCTGAAGCAGGATAAGGCCGCCGTCTTGGCTTTTATGCCACCTTGCGCTGTGCAGGGGATGTGGGGATCGGGGGTGCTCCCTGGTCCTCTCCACCACCAGCTCCAGGACTTGTGAGCCCCTGGGACCAGGCACTAGGCAGGGCCTCTGTCGGTGCGTGAGGCTCAGGTGCCCGGCCAGGTGTGCTCCTGTGTTGTGTCCTGAACTGGATTCGGCCCCCAAGTCGCAAGCAGAATGGGAGGAACACACTGTCCCCCTATATTTCAGGGAGGAAGGGAGAGGGAGGGAGGGAGGGAGAGAAACATCAGTGAGAGAGAACCATTGATTGGCTGCCTCCTGCACATACCACACTGGGGATCAAGCCTGCAACCTGAACATGTGCCCTGACTGGGAATTGAATCGAGACCTCCTGGTTCATAGGTCGACCCTCAGCCACTGAGCCCCGCCGGCCCGGCAGCA